TCTCGACATCTCAGATATAAACCTCATGCCCACCACCATTTAAGATGTTGGATACAGAACCAATTTCTAATAACTCTTGGGATCTGACCCAAATGAAAAGTATTTTTACAATCCTATATTGAATGCTTGTCGAGAACTTTGTATGGCACAAAGGTGTGAAACAGGTTATGAAGTAAACTTACCGGTGACACCACTATTCTCTGCCTTGAGATGTTTCTCAACAACCTCTCTGATATATCTGGATGTTGCATTTGATCCTGAAATACAGAAGAAATATGACCAATTTATGGGTAAATATTTCAATTTTATGGTGAAAATCCATCATCAGGTTGGTTCCACAAATGAATCATGACTCCGACTTGACTATGGCTCTCAAGTCATGATTGTGAAATCTGGGACTTGGGCAGCGATATTAAATAACGTTTTACATTTTTTTCAATTCCAGAAAACTGCAACAGCTTGAGTTTCTCACTCCCCACTTTTAGAATCATGAAACGCGACTCTGAGGCTGTGGTGAGTAGTAACCATGTTTCCGATTTCAATGCCAGCAATACACGTAGACCTACGACTTCACAAGTCAATGAGGTTACTCAACGCTATGTAAAACTGGAATGATGTGTTTCTCACATTTCGTTTCAAGCACAACCTCATACACGCAACTGATCAAAACTTTCCCACAAACCTACCCGTTTATGTAAAACAAACAAATATTTACCATTTTTTTCTTTCCAAAGTTGAAGCATCTCAAACTTTTGATCTTCAACAGAACTTGCATTATCTTCAATAATTGTTGAGATTTCATTGATACTGAGTGCGAGACCTGTCCCAGCTTGTGCAAACACTTTGAAATGTTTAAAAGTTGGAAATCTCTTCAAGATATCAGTGCAAGTGTCTTCAAATCTCTCATTCTCTCCTGAAATATTGATTAGACTTGCTTTACACGATTGCTATGAATTAAGCCTAGTACAAGTATGAACAGTCGTAAGCAGCGACTACACAATGAACATAAAATTGTTAACATAAATATTATCTTGTTTTATCACCACACCCATGCAAGTTCACTTTTCCAATCTTATGATAAATCAACTTTTCCAACTTCCAAAATACGTAACAAAACCATTCTACATTAAATCTTACTAGATGGCAGTAGAGAGTCATTATTTTATCCAATTGGTTACTAGTCATTTGATTACTGGTGAAAGGGTTAGGGTGACACAACATTAGTACACTGCTAAGCATTTCTAATTTGGAAAATTTACGAATTGCGTGAAAAAAAAAATTCACAAATCTACTATGTTATAGCAACTTCTTCTCAAACATATATTTTTAACAACATTTCAATATTTTTAAATATTTGAATCATCTAGGCTTTTCCTGACTGAATAATTATCAATTACTCCAATATTCAAAACCACCTTCACCTGCTGTTGCCCCTTGTGGCTCCGGATGTTGCTCAGCTGATTGAGGATCAAATGGAGATGCACCGAGCTTGGGTGGTGGAACATTGAACACTGTCTCCTCATCCTCAGATTGTGAGAGTGAAGTTATCTCTGTATGAGAAGACGGTTGATACATAAAACACTCCCAAGACGAGTTGCCACTAATATGTAACCGACAACACCTAGGATTCAGCGCATTAGCTAAAATACATGGTATTTTGAATTGTTCAAATCATTGCTGATAGAAAAAATTCTAGGTTCAGGAATTCCAAAATGCAAGAATTTTTACATTACCACATGATTATATAATCATACTCTTATTATATTGTGCATTATAATAGATTGGATGGAACCACGACAACAGAGATAACTCTGGTTGATTATCAGATACCGTGAGATGCTGGACTTTTATACAGATGGCGAATATTTTCCAACTTAAAAAACACAAATAACCCTGCTAAAACTTAAGAGCTTTTGGATTCAAACCCCATGCCCACCACCTCTAGAGATCTTGGATACAAACCCCTTTATATTGTCAAATATTTAATTCATTTAGGCATTTCTTGTCTGAAGCATCATCAATATCTTTAATATTCAAACCCACCCTCACCTGCTGTTGCCCCTTGTGGCTCTGGATGTTGCTCAGCTGATTGAGGATCAAATGGAGATGCACCGAGCTTGGGTGGTGGAACATTGGACACTGTCTCCTCATCCTCAGATTGTGCGAGTGAAGTTGCATCTGCATGGGAAATAGGTTGATAAATATAACACGCTAAAAAAAGCCCTACCCAAGCACCCCATTATATGTATCCTGCAACACCTAGAGTACCGTAACGACATAACACTTGTAATTGTTCTACCACGTTTGCTGTTTTTCACTGCACTTGGTTCAGAGGAATTTTTTGCCAAGATTTGGAAAGTATCTGTTACAAGTAAGGATGGATAATATTGAATCATGGGTGATCATATAAAGCTGGGATGAAGGAACGTATCGTAACAGAAGTATTGCTTTTTAAGCAGTAGAGTACCTGAAACTAATACTTGTTATCAATTCCCATATCTGACACGAACTCATGACCGGACAAGGAGCCATGGTTTGACATATGATTTTCCTCCCTCAAGATCAAATTGAAAATCACCAATAGTTTAAGGAATTATCAGTAACATGCATTGCCAAGATTGTTTTATTCAAAACTCGAACCATCAAGTCATCTCTGAACAAATCAACAACCAGCATTACCTTGATCAACTCCAGACGTTTTACTCTCAGCTCTCTGTTCAACAGAACGTCCACTCTGATCACTGCCTGATGTGCTGGAAATATTCGAGCCTGCAAATTAGAAAAAGCGTTATAAGTCAATTTCAATTTTAAAACTTTTGACAAACTCATTTCAGAATAATTGAATCATTGAAGTATTTAGTATATTTGATAGCTTATGATTGATATTTTTGGACAAGAAGTGAACCTATGGATTGTTCTAGTATTATGCTGTTGCTGTTTAATTTTTTTTTCTTGTATTTTTCTCATTATGAAAAAAATAGCTTTCTCTCTAAATACAGAACCAATTGGTTTAGAATTTCCAGTGGTTAAAGATTTTTGTTTTCACTAGTAGTAATTACTTTAATTTATTTTGAAATTTTTTGGGGTTCTATGAGACTTGTTATTATATGATAATAACAACAACCAAATTGAAAATTGCGTACCTTGTGGCGGTTTTGCATTTGTTGCGACATGAGGGGAGGGGGCTACAGACAAAGATATCGTACCAGTAGTGTGAAAGACCAGACACCCGCACAACTTCGTTTGGCCTTTGTGTGCCTATATTTGAGCCTTACTTTCTTGTTTTTGAAACAAATTACTTTTTAAAATTCGACTTGAGACTGTCGGATATTGATACATGTGGTTAAATGAGGGTCAGATGTAGAAGGGATTGTATTAAATAGGATACGTAGAACAAACTCAGGTCAGTCTGGCTTGCAAATAAAATTATTATCCATACTCTGATACCCATGCACATAACACATAATTCTATGCCCCACCCCCTTTATGACTCTTCATTCTTAACAAAGTCCTAGAAAGTAACCTCTGATATGCAGCCTACAACACCTAGAGATTTGAGGAGGATTTATAACGAATAAGGATGGATAAAATTACATGACCTATCATGAGAAAAAATGTAGGGCAGAAATAGTGATGCTTTTCGAGCAGTAAAGTACCTGAAACAATTACAAAAATATTAATTCCTATACCGGACTGATCTCATGACCTGAAGAGGAGGAGCCATGCTTCAATGAAATGAATTTAGCGACAAAATGACAGGCTGCGAATTTCTTGAGATGCAATGCAATGAGGAAATAAAGTCCTGATTTTATTCGAGAGATGTGTCATTGCTTGATTTTTATAAAAAGTAATTTCTTGATGAAAATCTCTATCCATGTGAAAAAATTACCATCGATGCCTGGAAGTGCATATGCGTGAAAAAATTTATTTTCGAAAATGAACATTACAAAGACCAAGCAGAGAACTACGATTAATGATGCTCATATAGAAAATGTCTAAATCTTGGGTTCGTCCAGCGCGACACCTGATGTACAAAAGATTCAAGTGTAATGCGACAACAGGTGTCAAATTGTCCAACAGAAGAACATATTCCAAATCTTTATTTTAATTTTACCGTTTTTTTCATTAACTTTACTTTTCGCCACCTTCTGTCTTTCTTGAACTGGTGATGGACTGCCACCCTTGCTTCTTTCCACCGCACTTGGTTTGGGAGAAATTTTTTCAGAGATTTGAGAAGAATCTGTAACAATAATATTCATATGTTGCGTTATCATATTACTGCTCACATGAAATCAAGGGAAATGAACAAAGGAAAAGTGGCAGTATTGCTTTACATATATTAGCACTTGACGAGAGCAATGTAACACATGATATTGCCAATGCACGGTGGTTCACAAAAACACGGGACACTGGATGATATTATGTGACTAATCAAGTAAAACTGAGGTGAATGAATGAACGTAGGCTAGAAGAAATATTGCTTTTCAAGCAAAATAGCATCTGAAACAAATACTAGTTAACATTTCCCATACCCGACATGGACTCATTACCGGACGAGAAGCCAAGGTCGACATTATGACTGTACCGCCTTATTACTTTTTTCTCCCCTGAGAAAAATTTGAAAATTACCAATCGTGTTGCGTGATGGTTGAAAATTTTTAGGGCATGGTAAACTAATACAGCATTTGTAATGGAGAAATGTGTGGAAAAAACTATTTAGTAAGAAATACACTTAGATCAGGCAGGATTGGGGGAGATTAGACAGTTCGGGCTGAATTTTTCAACATTTTTTCGAATCTCTTCTTCGACCAAGGAGTTTGACAAATAGTTTTATGAGATATTACCATGCTCTTGGAGGACTAGAATTTTCCCCATCAAGATTATTACGTCATAGATGAAAGGATCACTTCAGCCGGATATCCTGAACATGCATTGCTAACATAGTTTGATACAAAACTCAAATCATCAAGTCATTTCTCCAAATCCACAACCACAATTACCTGGATCAACTCCAGTCTCTTTACTTTCAGCTCCCTGTTCAACCGAAAGTCCACTCTGACCACTGCCTGATGTGCCGGGAATATCCGAGCCTGCAGCAACAGAAATATCACAATTTTAATTAAGCTTTTTCTTTTTCGTTGGGTTTTTCATATTAATCCATCTGCAGTTGATCGACGCCTCAATCGAAATGAAGTTACATTACAATGACAAAGTCGTCGGTAACTTGGCAACAGGCTCTCTCTGCTCAAAATACTGAAAAAGGTCTCAGCGGCATATGCTTTTCAAGAGAAAAAACTTCAATAATCCTATTATATTGTGCCAGGTTAGATGGCACCAAGAGTTCAAGTTATAATCAAGTTCATTTTTCCAGCCAGTAATAAAGTTACAAAATTAGGAGAAATAAAATTCAAACACAATTTTAAGTGAAGACGCGAGAGCTATTTTTTCTTGTACCTGCGGCGGAACTAGATGTTGCGTCATTTGTAGGGCGTGGTAAACTAATAGAGAATTTGGAATAAGCTTAGAGAAAATATATAAGTGGCACAAACTATTTGCTGAAATATGAAATACACTTAGTTAAGAGTGGATTGTTGAAGATTAGACAGTCTGATAGCAAGATTAATCTTTTAGGAGATTTTCAAACCTCCTCTCTGAACAAGGGGTTAGACAAACTTATATCCTTAACATGCTTTGCTAACATTGTTTGATACAAAACTCAAGTGGTGTGTTACAAGTAATTTTTGAAAAAGTCCACAACCAGCATTACCTTGATCGACTCCGGATTCTTTACTCTCAGCTCTCTGTTCAACCGAACGTTCACTCTGATCACTGCCTGATGTGCCGGGAATATCCGAGCCTGCAAAAACAGAAATATGGCTGCCATACTATGAAAGCATTAGGAGACTATTGCTCTTATTTATTTCAAAACTTTCTGTGAGCTCTAGGGAATTTGGAACCATTTGGAAAATAAATATTCAAGTTATAGCTCAACATAAGGCCGTTTTGTGCAAAGTTAGGCAATGTAACGGCATTTAATAAATTAACTAATGAATTATCGAATCTATTACACAGCAACAGAAATAATGCTGCCATACTATAAAAGCATTATCAGGTCAATCTCAATTTTAAAATAATACATTTTTTGACAAACTCAAACAGAGTATGATAAAAATACTCGATATTGGGAAGATCAGGTTTTCTTATATTCATACTGGAGAGAGAAATGTGAGCAACAGTGGGTAGGGGTTATGTAAGCATATGTATGTATACATGAATATGGCACATTTAACTGGTTCCCATAGAATTTTTCTTTCATCGAAATATATATGAATATATATTGAAAGTTTTAAACTACGCCAACTTTCACCAAAATTATTTCAGAATAACTATATAGTTGAAGTATTTAGGATACATGTGCTAAGGAGGTGAATGTTGCACAAATGGAAAATGTTGTTGACAAAAAAACAAAACTAAACTGAATATTGCTCACATCACCTAACCTATAAAAATAGTAATATATAAATCAAACAATAATTGTTAAAACAAGTTTATGTCAAAGTAAGTCGAGGTGAAGCTCCATACCCAATGGACGCTCGATCCAAGGAAAAACGGATAACGACTCCGAGCACCATTTTGTGTGTAACCATGGGAATGGAAGCAAAAGTCTGTACAGTAGCTGAATACAGATATTGCCTGACTTGTGGTTAACAGAATAGAATTTTCATATTTATCCCGCGAGGAAAAGCCGATAAGTCGGCATAATCATATTTTATAAAAAAAAGTTTCAGACAGATGTGAATGAACATAGGTATAACCAAGTGGTTTTCACACTACTTTCAAAATATTTCACAGGGGGTCCCTTTGGAATGTTTAATAGGGATTCTGCTCCACTCAAAGGGATTCATTCTTTGGATTTTATTCATTTCATATTTATATCAAATAGAAGATCGAATTCACATATTAAAATCTGAATGGGTCGCCGGCCGTCATTTTTTCCCTACTTGACTGATCTCAGACACAATCCCTATGTCAGCCATCTTACCCTGGGTAGAATGTATTAGATATGGTAAAGCAGACATTGCCAAACCCGGAACATTCCGTTCCATTGCAAAATAGAGGCTACTTGTTATTAGGGGGATGAAACCCACACTTGGAAATTTTGCTAATATATTTCGTTACCTCTACTTTTTGCCATCTCGCTTCTCTCTCTTGCAGGTGATGGGATACCATCCTTGCTGCTTTCCACTGCGCTTAATTCAGAAGATATTTTGCCTGAGATTTGAGAAGGATCTGTAACAAGCAAGCTCAGTTAATATTTATGTGACTGATCACAAAATACTTGCATAAAGAAACATGCGGTAAAATAAGCATTGCTTTTCACGTAGTAGACTAACTGAAACAAAAACTTATCAACAATTCACATACCGGACATGTACTCATGAATAACATGAACTACTTGTTCGTCCTTGTTTGGAGGGAATGTATGAGAATAACTCATAAAGAATCATCTCATCTATTGTTCTTACGAGGATTCATCGGCAATTGAAAACTACTTGAGGTTTGGTCTGCTAATGAGATGTTGGTGTTTCATTTTTAAGAGACAAACTGACAGAATGCCAGATTATCCTGATTACTCCATGGTGAGGAAAGCCTAAGAGGTGGAGGTGGAGATGGATAGAGTCATGATTGTGACCAATTCTGTGCCTAATATTTAGGGGGAAACCCCAACTTTAAATTGTGCTCATATCTTTCGTTACCTTTACTTTTCGCTACCACCAGTCTCTGCCTTCCAGATGATGGGCTACACCTTTGCCTCTTTTCACCGAGCTTGGTTTGGAAGAACTTTTTGCTGAGATTTGGGAAGGATCTGTAACAAGTAAAAATGGGTAATATTAATGTGAAGAAAAACTGGGGTTAAGAAACAATGGGTAGAAAAAGTATCGCTTTCTAGCAGTCGAGTATATGAAACAAATACTTGTTAATAACTCCTATACATCAGGTGAACTCATAACTGGATAAGGATCCATGGCTTGACATATGCTTGAACCACCTTTTTAATTTTTTTCACCCCCGAGATAAATTTAACAATGTTTTAATGCTATAATCTTTCCAATCATACTGCAGTTCTCTCTAGACTTCTGTCACTATCAATTAAATCCAATTTTTTTATTAATTTTGTTCGCTCGCCAGAAGTCGCTGTTTTATTTTTAATAGACAAGTTGAATAACATATAAGTTTTCCTACGACAGGATCAGAATCCCACATCCATACCAGTGAGAATAAAGCCTGAAAGAAGAACATAGTCCAAGTTTCTTTATTTTTGTATTACCATTTCTCTCATTACCTTTACTTTTTGCCACCTCCTCCTGTCTCTTTCTAGCTGGTGCTGGACTGCCACCCTTGCTGCTTTCTACTGCATTTGGTTCAGAAGTACTTTTTTCTGAGATTTGAGAAGGATCTGTAACAAGAATATTTACATGTTGGATTATCATGTTACTGCTGACATGAAATCAAGGGAAATGAACAAAGGAAAAGTAGCATTATTGCTTTACATATATTAGCACTTGACGAGAGCAATGTAACACATGATATTGCCATTGCACGGTGGTTCACAAAAACACGGGACACTGGATAATATTATGTGACTAATCAAGTAAAACTGAGGTGAATGAATGAACGTAGGCTAGAAGAAATATTGCTTTCCAAGCAGAATAGCATCTGAAACAAATACTAATTAACATTCCCCATACCCGACATGGACTCATTACCGGACGAGAAGCCAAGGTCGACATTACGACTGTACCGCCTTATTACCTTTTTTTCTCTCCTGACAAAAATTTGAAAATTACCAATCGTGTGATGAATCATCTGTAAGACGATGCCAAAACTAGATGTTGCGTGATGGTTGAAAACTTTTGAGGCATGGTAAACTAATACAGCATTTGTAGAGGAGAAATGTGTAGAAAAAACTATTTAATAAGAAATACACTTAGATCAGGCAGGATTGGGGGAGATTAGACAGTTTGGGCTGAATTTTTCAACATTTTTTCGAATCTCTTCTTCGAACAAGAACAAATAGTTTTATGAAATATTACCATGCTCTTGGAGAACTAGGATTTCCCCCATCAAAATTATTACGTCATAGATGAAAGGATCATTTCAACCGGATATCCTTAACATGCATTGCTAACATAGTTTGATACAAAACTCAAATCATCAAGTCATTTCTCCAAATCTACAACCAGCATTACCTGGATCATCTCCAGTCTCTTTACTCTCAGCTCCCTGTTCAACCGAACATCCACTCTGACCACTGCCTGATGTGCCGGGAATATCCGAGCCTGAAGCAACAGAAATATCACAATTTTAATCAAGCTTTTTCTTTTTCGTTAGGTGTTTCATATTAATCCATCTGCAGTTGATCGACGACTCAAACGAAATAAAGTTACTTCACAATGACAAAGTCGTCGGTAACTTCGCAACAGGCTCTGTATGCTCAAAATACTGAAAAAGATCTCAGCGGCATATGCTTTTCAAGAGAAAAAACTCCAAGAATCCTATTATATTTTGCCAGGTTGGAAGGCACCAAGAATTCAATTTCAAGTTATAATCAAGTTCATTTTTCCAGCCAGTAATAAAGTTACAAATTTAGGAGAAATAAAATTTAAACACAATTTTTAGTGAAGACGCCGAGAGCTATTTTTTCTTGTACCTGCTGCGGAACTAGATGTTGCGTCATGGTTGAAAATTTGTAGGGCGTGGCAAACTAATAGAGAATTTGGAATAAGCTTAGAGAAAATATATAAGTGGCACAAACTATTTGCTGTAATATGAAATACACTTAGATAAAGGTGGATTGTTGGAGATTAGACAGTTTGATGGCAAGATTAATCTTTTAGGAGATTTTCAAGCCTTCTCTCTGAACAAGGGGTTAGACAAACTTATATCCTTAACATGCATTGCTAACATTGTTTGATAAAAAACTCAAGTCGTTTGATAAAAGTAATTTTTGAACAAATCCACAACCAGCATTACCTCGATCAACCACGGATTCTTTACTCTCAGCTCTCTGTTCAACCGAACGTCCACTCTGACCACTGCCTGATGTGCCGGGAATATTCGAGCCTACAACAACAGAAATATGGCTGTCATACTATGAAAGCATTAGGAGACTATTGCTCTTTTATATTTCAAAACTTTCTGTGAGCTCTAGGGAACTTGGAACAATTTGGAAAATAAATATTCAAGTTATAGCTCAACATAAGGCCGTTTTGTGCAAAGTTAGGCAATGTAACGGCATTTAATAAATTAACTAATGAATTATCGAATCTATTACACAGCAACAGAAATATGGTTGCCATACTATAAAAGCATTATCAGGTCAATCTCAATTTTAAAATAATACATTTTTTGACAAACTCAAACCAAGTATGATAAAAATACTCGATACTCGAGCAACAGTGGTTAGGGGTTATGTAAACATATGTATGTATACATGAACATGGCAAATTTAACTGGTTCCCATAGAATTTTTCTTTCTTCGAAATATATATGAAATTTCTTTCAAGTTTTAAACTATGCCAACTTTCACCAAAAATATTTCAGAATAACTCTATAGTTGCAGTATTTAGGATACATGTGCTAAGAAGGTGAATGTTGCACAAATGGAAAACTTTGTTGACAAAAAAAACAAAACTAAACTGAATATTGCTCACATCACCTAACCTATAAAAATAGTAATATATAAATCAAACAATAATTGTTAAAACAAGTTTATGTCAAAGTAAGTCGAGGTGAAGCTTCATACCCAATGGACGCTCGATCCAAGGAAAAACGGATAACGACTCCGAGCACCATTTTGTGTGTAACCATGGGAATGGAAGCGAAAGTCTGTACAGTAGCTGAATACAGTTATTTCCTGACTTGTGGTTAACAGGATAGAATTTTCATATTTATCCCGCGAGGGAAAGCCGATAAGTCGGCATAATCATATTTTATAAAAAAGTTTTATTAGTCGCAGTTAGGAATGAGAGAGTATGGATACAAGTGGAAGAACAGGGTAAGATGCGTTGGTGCCGGAGACGTCTTGAAGTGGTAAAAGACATGACCTAGTGTTAATTGGTAAAAAAAAATGGTTCTTAAACTTTTTGAGCCGCGATTGATTAAACGTGTACATAAGACACGTAAGATTTCAATCAATTGTTGTCGATAAGGCGTTTGCGATTGCATTTTGTTTAAATCTCCACTGTTTACGTCAGCGTGGCGTGTTATTTAAGCTCTAAAAATCTTGATTTCGGTGTTTATTCTTCCTAAATCCGAAATTTCCCTCGTTATATTCTTGTGCCGCGAAGACGATTATAATTACTTTTTTTGTTCTCGAATGGAACCATGACACCTCTGAGGAAAATGAGTTTATGAAATGAATTTTTATTATATAATCATCAGCGACGAGATGCTAAATATAGAATAAAAAAGTGAATCCGTAACCAAAAATTTCTTTATTGTAAAAGTGGCATTACAAAAATACTGAAAATAAAACGGAAAACGCCATGAGTTTTGTTTCGGGGTGGACCGCAACAGATTAAAAACACTTTCTTAGGCATTAAAAATCTCATAAATTCCTTGTGCGTGCGGCACACCAGTAGTGTTCAAAACTACAGACTTGATATAAATTTTACTCCGTGGGATCGCAGACTTAGGAATATCTGTAACGGTGATATCTTAAAATTAATCAAGTGGCGGCATTGCAATCGAGCGGAGTAAGAGTTGCAGGAACAGCTCATATTGGGGTAAAAAAAATTTAATTTGTGAACGAAAACATTCGACATAATGAATGAAGGTGGCAATTTTTTGCATGCAATGCAATGAGGAGATAAAGTCCTGTTTTTATTTGAGAGATATGTCATTGCTTGATTTTTATAAAAAGTAATTTCTTACTGAAAATCTCTATCCATGTGAAAAAATTACCATCAATGCCTGGAAGTGCATATGCGTGCAAAAAATTATTTTCAAAAATGAATGAATGTGGTTCCCACTTATAGCCTTCATTTAGGAGTATGCAGTCCTGCATATCTTTAAGCCCTTTTCCTAGTTACAGTCTAGTTTATTTTTCAGCCAGTAAAAAAGTAGTCGTACTCATGTAGTATGTAAACCAAGACTGCCGACACCGGAACGTAGTATGTGTAACAGGTTAGGGTTAGTCCACAATTTCAGATACAAATACTACAGGTGTCACTTGGCTAGTCCCTGAACTCGTAATAGAAATAAAATAAGGAAAATTGGAAAAAAATTATGGCCCAACCCTAACCAGATACACATGCTACATTCCGGTGTTCACTATTTTGGTTCAAATACTAAGGGAGTGCCAAAGTAGTTACAAAATTAGGAGATATAAAACTAAAGACAGCTTTACTGGGAAAGCAAAAATGTGAGGCAGAAAATTTTTTTTATACAAGCATAACTCGATGATGACTAGATAAGACTAGATAAAAATATTGTAAGGCATGTTAAACAAATGGAGAATTAGGAATAAATAGATCAATGTTTGGAAAAAATATTAAGAGTGGAACAAACTATTTTATAGGAAATGTACTTAGATAAGGCCAGATTGTTGGATAACAAGTTTGATAACAGACTGAATTTTTTCATCGTAATTTCAAATCTCTTCTCCAAACAAGGAGTTAGATAAATAGTTTTATGAAATATAAATATTCTTTAGGGAGGACTGGAATTTTTCCTGCCAAGATTATTACATCATAGAAGACGTATGCAATTATTGAAACCCCATATCTTAAACTTGCGCCGCCAACAAAGTTTGATTCAACTCTCAAATCATCAAATCAGCTTCCACAACCAGCAATACCTGACAATGTCTGATATTGATACTTGTGGTTGAATGAGATGTAAAAGGAATTTGAAGAGATTCTATTAAATAAGACACGAGGACGAAAACACAAGTCTGCCTGGCTTGGAAATTGCATATTATTCATACCCAAGACACCCGTGTATGATTCTATGCCCCACCCCTTCTATGACATGTTGTCACACCTTCACTTTTAACAAAGCCCTACCAAGCACCAGTGTACAGTAAGACATAGAAACTGTTCAAGTCAGTACTGTTAAGGAAATGGGTTTAGGAGCTCCAATCTGATCATAATCTATTATATTGTACCTGGTTGGTTGGCAACAGATGTGAATGAACATAGGTATAAACAAGTGGTTTTCACACTACTTTCAAATTATTTCACAGGGGGTTCCTTTGGAATGTTTAATGGAGATTCTGCTCCACTAAAAGGGACTCATTCTTTGGATTCTATTCATCTCATATTATTATCAAATAGAAGATGAAATTCACGCATTAAAATCTGAATGGGTCGCCGGCCGTCATATTTTCCCTACTTGACTGATCTCAGACACAATTCCTATGTCAGCCATCTTACCCTGGGTAGAATGTATTAGATATGGTAGAGCAGGCATTGCCAAACCCGGAACATTTCGGTCCATTGCAAAATAGAGGCTACTTGTTATTAGAGGGATGAAACCCACACTTGGAAATTTTGCTAATATATTTCGTTACCTCTACTTTTTGCCATCTCGCTTCTTTGTCTTGCAGGTGATGGGATACCACCCTTGCTGCTTTCCACTGCGCTTAATTCAGAAGATATTTTGCCTGAGATTTGAGAAGGATCTGTAACAAGCAAGCTCAGTTAATATTTATGTGACTGATCACAAAATACTTGCATAAAGAAACATGCGGTAAAATAAGCATTGCTTTTCACGTAGTAGACTAACTGAAACAAAAACTAATCAACAATTCCCATACCGGACATGTACTCATGACTAACATGAACTACTTGTTCGTCCTTGTTTGGAGTGAATGTATGAGAACAACTCATAAAGAATCATCTCATCTATTGTTCTTACGAGGATTCATCGGCAATTAAAAACTACATAAGGTTTGGTCTGCTCATGAGATGTTGCTGTTTCATTTTTGTGAGACAAACTGACAGAATGCCAGATTATCCTAATTACTCCATGGCGAGGAAAGCCTAAGAGGTGGAGGTTGGAATAGGGTCATAATTGTGACCAATTCTGTGCCTAATATTTAGGGGGAAACCCCAACTTTAAATTGTGCTTATATCTTTCGTTACCTTCACTTTTCGCTACCACCGGTCTCTGCCTTCCAGGTGTTGGGCTACCACCTTTGCCTCTCTTAACCCAGCTTGGTTTGGAAGAACTTTTGGCTGAGATTTGGGAAGGATCTGTAACAAGTAAAAATGGGTTATATTAAGGTGAAGAAAAACTAGGGTTAAGAAACAATGGGTAGACAAAGTATCGCTTTCAAGCAGTCGAGTATCTGAAACAAATACTAGTTAATAACTCCTATACGTCAGGTGAACTCATAACTGGATAAGGATCCATGGCTTGACTTATGCTTGAATCACCTTTTTAATTTTTTTCACCCCCGAAATAAATTTAACAATGTTTTAATGCTATAATCTTTCCAACCCTACTGCAGTTCTCTCTAGGCTTGTGTCACTATCAAATCCATCCAATTTTTCTAATAATTTTGTTCGCTCGCTAGAAGTCGCTGTTTTATTTTTAAGAGACAAGATGAATAACATATAATTTTTCATACGACAGGATCAGATTCCCACATCCACATCAGTGAGAATAAAGGCTGAAAGAAGAACATAGTCCAAGTTCCTTTATTTTTATATTACCATTTCTTTCATTACCTTTACTTTTTGCCACCTCCTCCTGTCTCTTTCTAGCTGGTGCTGGACTGCCACCCTTGCGGCTTTCTACTGCATTTGGTTCAGAAGTACTTTTTTCTGAGATTTGAGAAGGATCTGTAACAAGAATATTTAGATGTTGGATTATCATGTTACTGCTGACATGAAATCAAGGGAAATGAACAAAGGAAAAGTAGCAGTATTGCTTTACATATATTAGCACTTGACGAAAGCAACGTAACACATGATATTGCCATTGTACGGTGGTTCACAAAAACACGGGACACTGAATAATATTATGTGACTAATCAAGTAAAACTGAGGTGAATGAGTGAACGTAGGCTAGAAGAAATATTGCTTTCCAAGCAAAATAGCATCGGAAACAAATATTAGTTCACATTTCCCATACCCTACATGGACTCATTACCGGATGAGAAGCCAAGGTCGACATTATGACTGTACCGCCTTATTACCTTTTTTCTCCCCTGAGAAACATTTGAAAATTACCAATCGTGTGATGAATCATCTGTAAGACGCGCGATGTCAAAACTAGATGTTGCGTGATGGTTGAAAAAGAGCATTTGTAATGAAGAAATGTGTAGAAAAAAATATTTAGTAAGAAATACACTTAGATCAGGCAGGATTGGGGGAGATTAGACAGTTTGGGCTTAATTTTTCAACATTTTTTCGAATCTCTTCTTCAAACAAGGACAAATAGTTTTATGAAATATTAGCATGCTCTTGGAGAACTAGAATTTCCCCCATCAAAATTATTACGTCATAGATGAAAGGATCATTTGAACCGATATCCTTAACATGCATTTCTAACATAGTTTGATACAAAACTCAAATCATCCAGTCATTTCTCCAAATCCACAAGCAGCATTACCTTGATCATCTCCAGTCTCATTACTCTCAGCTCCCTGTTCAACCGAACGTCCACTGTGATCACTGCCTGATGTGCCGGGAATATCCGAGCCTGCAACAACAGAAATATGGCTGTCATACTATGAAAGCATTAGGAGACTATTGCTCTTATTTATTTCAAAACTTTCTGCGAGCTCTAGGGAATTTGGAACCATTTGAAAAAATATATTCAAGTTATAGCTCAACATAAGGCCGTTTTGTGCAAAGTTAGGCAATGTAACGGCATTTAATAAATTAACTAATGAATTATCGAATCTATTACACAGCAACAGAAATAATGCTGCCATACTATAAGAGCATTATCAGGTCAATCTCAATTTTAAAAATATTGCATTATTTGACAAACTCAAACAGAGTATGATAAAAATACTCGATATTGGAAAGATCAGGTTTTCTGATATTTGTACTGGAGAGAGAAATGCGAGCAACAGTGGGTAGGGGTTATGTAAACATATGTATGTATACATGAATATGGCACATTTAACTGGTTCCCATAGAATTTTTCTTCCTTCCAATATATATGAAATTTCTTCCAAGTTTTAAACCTTTCACCAAAATCATTTCAGAATAACTACATAGTTGAAGTATTTAGGATACATGTGCTAAGGAGGTGAATGTTGCACAAATGGAAAACTTTGTTGACAAAAAAACAAAACTAAACTGAATATTGCTCACATCACCTAACCTATAAAAATAGTAATATATAAATCAAACAATAATTGTTAAAACAAGTTTATGCCAAAGTAAGTCGAGGTGAAGCTTCATACCCAATGGACACTCGATCCAAGAAAAAACGGATAACGACTCCGACCACCATTTTGTGTGTAACCATGGGAATGGAAGCGAAAGTCTGTACAGTAGATGAATACAGTTATTGCCTGACTTGTGGTTAACAGAATAGAATTTTCATATTTATCCCGCGAGGGAAAGCCGATAAGTCGGCATAATCATATTTTATAAAAAAGTTTTGTTAGTCGCAGTTAGGAATAAGAGAGTATGGATACAAGTGGAAGTATAGTGGTAAGATGCGTTGGTGCCGGAGACGTCTTGAAGCGGTAAAAGACATGACCTAGTGTTAATTGGTAAAAAAAAATTTAATTTGTGAATGAAAACATTCGACATAATAAATGAAGGTGGCAAAGTTCTAGAAAGTAGGTAACCTCTGATATGCAGCCTACAACACCTAGAGATTTGAGAAGGATCTATAACGAGTAAAGATGGATAAAATTACATGACCTATCATGTGAAAGCCGTTGTTAAAGAATGTAGGGCAGAATTAGTGATGCTTTTCAAGCAGTAAAGTACCTGAAACAATTACAAAAATAACAATTCCTATACCGGACTGATCTCATGACCTGAAGAGGAGGAGCCATGCTTCAAGGAAATTTAGCAACAAAATGGCAGGTGCAAATTTTTGCATGTAATGCAATGAGGAGATAAAGTCCTGTTTTTATTCAAGAGATGTGTCATTGCTTGATTTTTATAAGTAATTTCTTGATGAAAATCTCCATCCATGTAAAAAATTACCATCGATGCCTGGAAGTGCATATGCGTGCAAAAAATTATTTTCGAAAATGAACATTACAAAGACCAAGCAGAGAACTACAATTAGTGATGCTCATATAGAAAATGTTCAAATCTTGGCTTCGTCCAGCGCGACACCTGATGTACAAAAGATTCAAGTGTAATGCAACAACAGGTGTCAAATTGTCTAACAAAAGAACATATTCCAAATCTCTTTATTTTTATTTTACCATTTTTTTCATTACCTTTACTTTTCGCCACCTTCTGTCTCTCTTGAGCTGGTGATGGACTGCCACCCTTGCTGCTTTCCACCGCACTTGGTTTGGGAAAAATTTTTTCAGAGATTTGAGAAGGATCTGTAACAATAATAAATACATGTTGCGTTATCGTGTCACTGCTAACATGAAATTGAGGAAAATGAACAAAACAAAGGTAGCAGTATTTCTTTACATACAGTAGCACTTGATGAGAGCAATATATTATGACACATGAGATTGTCATTGCATGGTGGTTTCCACTTATAGCCTCCATTTAGGAGTATGTAGTCCTGCATATCTTTAAGCCCTTTTTCGAGTTACAGTCTAGTTTATTTTTCAGCCAGTAAAAAAGTAGTAATGAATACAAGAAGTGAACCTATGGTAAAGTAGGCATATAAAGTTGGGTTTCATGGTATGTTCTGGGTTAGGATAAATATAAAACTGTAGGCAAAAGGTTAGAGTAAGCATATGAAGTGGGATTCATGGTATGTTCTGGGTTAGGATAAATATAAAACTGTAGGCAAAAGGTTAGAGTAAGCATATGAAGTGGGATTCATGGTATGTTCTGGGTTAGGATGAATATAAAACTGTAGGCAAAAGGTTAGAGTAAGCATATAAAGTTGGGTTTCATGGTATGTTCTGGATTAGGATAAATATAAAACTGTAGGCAAAAGGTTTGAGTATGCATATGAAGTGGGATTCATGGTATGTTCTGGGTTAGGATAGATATAAAACTTTGGGCAAATGGTTTGAGTAAGCATATGAAGTGGGATTCATGGTATGTTCTGGGTTAGGATAGATATAAAACTTTGGGCAAATGGTTTGAGTAAGCATATGAAGTGAGATTTATGGTATGTTCTGGGTTAGGATAGATATAAAACTTTGGGCAAATGGTTAGAGTAAGCATATGAAGTGTGACTCGTGGTATGTTCTGGGTTAGGATAGATATGAAACTTTGGGCAAATGGTTTGAGTAAGCATATGAGGTGGGATTCATGGTATGTTCTGGGTTAGGATAGATATAAAACTTCAGGCAAATGGTTAGAGTAAGCATATGAAGTGGGATTCATGGTATGTTCTGGGTTAGGATAGATATAAAAATGTAGGCAAATAGTTAGAGTAAGCATATGAAATGGGATTCATGTTATGTTCTGGCTTGGAATATATCTCACAAGACTCAACACAGCCAATCAGGAAGCAATGGAGTTAATGAAGATTTCCTGTCAATTCTACAATAATTAGGATGTTACCAAAATACTCAACCACAAACTGCCTCTTTAAAAAATACTGCGGTTACCGTAGAGCAGGGGTTCCCAAACCGCGGCCCGCGGGCCAAATCTGGCCCGCGTAACAATTCAAAATGGCCCGCCGAACTTGAGTAAAACGATGTTGTTATGTCATTATCACAGTTTAAGCATGTGTTTATCTCGTAACAATTCAATTATGCTGATATCTCAATAATAGGTACCGGTATTACCGTGTTTCCCCAAAAATAGAACAGATTATTTCAATTTTCTTTCGAAAAATATAACTAGGGCTTATTTTCGGGGCGTGTCTTTTATTTTCATGAGACCAAAAAAAAATAACAAAGATTTTCAAATATAAAATATATGAAAACCAATATCCATTTACTTAAATGGCACGTTTCCTCTTTCACACTTGTTAGATTAATCATTTACAACGTGTAGGGGAGATTTCCTGCTATCGACTAGATGCTACTGACTATACGTCTTATTTTCCGGTGAGGCTTATATTAAAATCATTCTTAAAATTCAGGCTAGGTCTTATTTACGGGATTGGTCTCATTTTCAGGGAAACACGGTAGGATTACAAAGAGCAGTAATTAAGTTATCAGCCATATAAGAAAGCTTACAGATGTCAAAGAAACAAACAAAACTAGACTTTGCAAATAGACGTTTCCGGGATAAATGGTAGCTTTCATATTTCTGTATTGCAAAGAATCAAACTTCAGCGATTTGTCTTCCTTGCAAATGAAATATTCCAGTTCTGAAGGAATACGACATTAAGCGCCATTATGAGTCAAACAAACAGTTTGCAAAAAATGTCAAATGAAAGTGAATCCACTGAACCCCAGCTAAACCGCCGCGAACTTTCGGGCGTTAAACTCTTCCGGCCCGCGAACATTCTCCCGATTCTAAATTTGGCCCGCGTCCAATAAAGTTTGGGAACCCCTGCCGTAGCGGGGCGATGAAAAATAGACATTTTAACTCATCATGCTCGACACTCGTTTGGAGCTTAGGTTTAAATTTTATATCAAAGTAAAATTATGAAGATATTAAATGGCTGCAAAAACTTTTGAAGTTCATAGTAAATTAAATTCAGTTGAAGTAACTGGGCTCACATATGAGCTCTTGCTTATGTGGGTTTGCTCGTGTGTTAGAATTTTCTATGAGGTGTTTCCACAACTACGTTCCAAACAAGGCACAACAAAACTAATCATTTTACTCGCTATTCTGGAGCAGTGGTGTGCCACCTATAATTCGAGAGGGCCAGATACAAATATCTGGGTGAGACTGCGTGCTACACCTTTATTTAACATGGGCTCTGAAATAGCTGCAAGCACAAAAAAAAAACATTGTAACGACAAAGGCATAGATTATAAATTGTACTCGGGTATAGGCTGTGCGATGCAAAGGGATTGCAATTACTTGCACATATCAAATTGAACTACGGTAACTTGAAAATTCGTTTTGCACACCATTCAAAATCGGCACTTCTACGTGACCTGCACAATTTATTCCGTTGTGGGCTGCAGTTAGCCTGCGGACCGCCGATTGCACACCTCGGCTTCCGAGCATCGGTTTCCAATCAGGGTCCGTGGCCTACCAAAGGGCCACAATAGGTTTACTTTTCCTCTTTCAAGTAAACTCCTAGTTCATTTTAATTTCAATGCTTGATAAGGTTATTTCACAGTTTTTTTTCACTTTGTTGAGCATAAATTATTCCATATTATTTGGGATTTGGATTCTATCGATCAGAATAACCGTCTAAATACCTGATAAACAGGGGGCATTACTGCTAAAAGCCTCTGGAGGGGGCCATTAGCCATAAAAGGTTTGTAACCGAGCATTAGAAGAATATACAATATTTGACGCTCAGCATTTCAATACTTTAGTTTCAGGAAGTGGGCATCCCATTTGAAACTGTGATTTATGCTGGGTTTGAATTTTATACAGATGGCGAATCAAAGCCATCAATATTAGTATTCTAACCTGTAATTCAAGACATTATAGATGAGATCAAAACGATGAATGAAAATATCGGTATATTTCATTCAATACCGATATAATTACCGATAGCCATACCGATAATTCTCTGTTCAAGACACGACTGCTGGTCACATACGTACCTTGATAAACTCCAGGTTCCTTCGACGTCAAACTCTCTGCTGCTGTTCTAGAGGTCAACGATGCAGACAACGTTTTGCTTGGATCTGTGATGGAAAGAATACAATGTTAGCAAAGCTTAACAATATGAATATTTTTTTTCATTTTTTCGAGTATGGGACATCAAAATCAATAGTTTAACCATTTCAATGTTTGCAGTTTTATGTTTATATCCAAAGAAACAAATCAGGTAATGTTTAGAGTATGTTTTTGGTTAGGAATGATGGTTAGAGTGAGCATATGAAGTGGGATTCATGATATGTTCTGGGTTGAGATGAATATAAATCTTTAGGCAAATGGTTGGAGTAACCATATGAATTGGGACTCCTGGAAGTGGGATTAATGGTATGTTCTGGGTTAGGATAGATATAAAACATTAGGCAAATAGTTAGAGTACGCATAAGAAGTGGAATTCATGGTATGTTCTGGGTTAGGATGTGTAAGGTGGTGTGTATACACGCACAACTATATTGCATTTGTAGACTTTATTCACATTCGAAACAGAACACATTCCAGATAGATAAACTTAAAACCGTTAATGCACACAGGACCAACTCATAACAGCTAATGTGACACAGTACACGTGATAAGTACAGAACTTAGAAGTCACCTTCAGACATGAACGGACACGGGTCAAAGGTCACTATATTACATCCCTCCAAACCTTAATAAAAAAAAACACAAAAATTGACATCGATGAACGACAAACCATATGAACACTTGATATCAAAATTTTAGGATTCAGCACACAAACTTTTAGTTCAAGTCTTCACACAGATAAATATTGATATCAACTTCATGAAATACAATGCAAAACACAGTACACATTAGTTTCAAAATACAGTTAAGCAGTCAATACTGTAATTCGTCCCATATGAAAATCTTTAAATCTACTCGGCACTTTTGGACATCTTCTAGGACGATCTCTAACACTTGGAACAGGGGGGAACAGAAGGTGCTGGACTTTCAGCAATAGGATCTGCTGTTTCATTATCAGCATTCAAATTAACAGTATCGTCAGAAATATCATTATCATGCAAAACATCTGAATCAGTGATATTTGTAAAACGCTTGCGAAAGGTACAATCATTCACTTTTTTAAATAGAGAAGCATTTCTAGTTTTACTGCCAATATTGGGACCTTGTGCAGTAATCATAGAACCTTTTACATTTATAACATCCATAGGCTCAGGTCTATATGCTGAAGAAAGCTTATTGTTTCTAGTTTAGTCTCAGGATCACAGAATCACCAACATGAATTTGTTCAGTCGGTTTTGAACAATTTCTTGCGTCAGCATACATTTTCTGTTTAGCCTTATAAAAACAATCACGATCACGTAAATCATTATCGACAGTAGGAACAATAATTTCAGGCAATAGGACTTTGATATTAGTACCATACAATAATTCAGCAGGTGGTCTACCTGTTGTAACATGGGGGCATGCTCTATAATTTCTCAAAAATTTATACATTTCCTGCTTCCAAGACTTGCCTTCAACCGTAGCAGTCTTGATAGCCTTACCCAAAGGTTTCATAAAATTTTCGGACTGGGCATTAGCTCTAGGCCACAAGGGAGTTATCTTTCTATGACGTATGCCAAACAGTTCCATAAAACGTCTGAATTGATAACTTTGCCAAGGAGGACCATTATCAGTTTTCACAACTTCGGGAAAACCTAGCATTGAAAATATTTTATCAAGAACAGGAATGACATAAAAATTAGACGTAGCTTTAACAATTTCAACAACAGGAAAACGAGAGTATTCATCAATAAAAACAAGACAATAGTCTCCAGAATGGATATGGACCAGAAAAATCACAACTAACAGCTTGCCAAGCTTTTTGTGGCAACTCACTCATGCTTAAAGGGAGCATTCTCTCATCTTTCACAACAGAAGCACAAGCAGCACAGCTTTTCACCACATTTTCTACCATAGCATCCATACCAGGAAACCATATCTTTTCTCTCAACAAAGATTTTGTTTTACTCATACCCATATGTCCCTCATGAGCAATGTCAACGATTTTACGTCTCAAACATACTGGAATAACAATTCGATTACTTCGTAATAAAATACCTTGCTCAGTCACACAAAGTTCACTGGCAATTTTGGCAAAAATAGACATTTCTTCACAATCTTTATACTTATACCATAAGTTATTTTGCAAATATTTTATCACATTCTGTATCACACTATCATTTTCAGAAGCACTTTTTATTTCACACAGTTTGATAGCTTTGGGACATGTATTCTCGCATACATAATTCACACATTCTTCTGTGATTTTATCAGAATGTACATTTTGCATTTCAATGGGATGCCTTGACATGTAGTCAGCAGGGTTAGTTTTCCCTGGACGATGTACAATATTAAAGGTGTACTGTTGTAAACGCAAACACCAACGCTCAATCCTGGCAGAAGGTTTAGCAGTCACACTAGAAAACACACTCACTAAGGGTTTGTGATCAGTAACAACAGTAAATTTTACACCATACAGATAGAGATGGAAATGTTCTATAGCCCAGCACACAGCAAGAGCTTCTCTCTCTATCTGGGAATAACGACTTTCCACATCACTCAACAATCTAGATGCATACGCAATCACACGGACATGGTCATTATCAGTGTCTGATTCTTTCTGGACTAAAACACAACCAAGTCCAACTGGGGATGCATCTACAATAATTTCAGTACAAAGCTTAGGATCAAAATAAGACATAACAGTATCACTTGTGAGACTATTTTTCAATTCACAAAAAGCTTTTTCACAATTTTCACTTCATATAAAATCAACATTTTGTTTAGTAAGCTCTTGTATAGGTTTAACAATAGTTGAGTAATTAGGTATAAAACGAGACACATAGTTCGAAATACCAAGAAAGGATTTAACTTGTTGCTTATCAGAAGGTCTATCAGCCTTGTTTATAGCTTCAACCTTATTTGGATCAGGTGACACACCTTCATCACCAAACATATTTCCAAAAAACTTTATAGACGATTGAAAAAATGAACACTTTTTCCTATTCAAAGTAAGGCCACAGTCTCTTATACGTTGCAAACAGGCTCTTAAATCTTTCTCATGCTCAGCCTCATTTACACTACTGATATAAATATCATCTGAGATGTTTTTGACACCTCTTAAGCCGTGCAATGCTTGTTCAATCAAATATTGAAATTTTTCACTAGCAGCATTAACTCCATAATTCAATCTTTTATATCTGTATAATCCAATATGGGTACTAAAGGTAGTAATATGTCTACTGTCAGGGTGTAATTCAATTTGGTGATAACCCTGGTTCAAATCCAACTTGGAAAATACTTTATATCCATTTAAATCATGTATAAGTTCATCAACAGGAGGCATAGGGTGTTTTACCCTCTTTATTGCCTTATTCGCAGCTCGCATATCGACACATAGTCGAATGTTTTCTGGGTCACAAGGTTTAGGAACACATACAATAGGAGAGACCCATGGAGTAGGACAATTTTCCACACTTTCACAAATGTCTTCATCACACAGTTTAGCAACAGCACTTTCGACTTTTTGACGCATTTTAAAAGGAACTCGTCTGTGCTTTTGATGAACAGGGTTTACAGAATCATCAATATTTAACTTCAATTGGAAGTTTTTCAATTTCCCCAACCCTTGAAAAATTGAATTATAATCCCTTAAAATACTTTCAGTGAGATCCACTCGATCATTTGACACAGAGTTAATAATTTTCAAAATACCAAGATCACTAGCAGTCTTGAAAGAGAGCAAACAACCAATTGCATATCTAACAACATAGAATACAATGTTGATGCATTTGCCACACTTAGAAGTTACAACTGCATGAAATTTCCCCTTCACAGACAAGGGTTTTCTACTTCCATAAGCATAAAGCTTAATATTTGCAGTTTCCAATTTGCATGGTTTACTGGATCTACTTTTTAAATTTTGAAAAGTTTTGTAATCGAGTACATTGACACTTGCACCACTATCTATAAGCATAGAACAAAGCACATTGTTAATTTTCAACTGTACTTTAGCAGAATTATTGTTATTGGAACAATTACACATTGATCCATTCACTGAGAGAATATATTCATGACTCTCAGAGCTCATTTCACTCAGTTCATGATCTCTGCAATCATGTTTAGGCTCATTTTGCACACTGTTCAACTTGGGCTTGTTGAATTTACTATTCGCTTCTTTACAGAATCTAGCAAAATGACCATACTTGGAACAGTTATAACATCTGCGACCATATGCAGGACACATTTCTGCATGTGGATACACTCCACCGCAACTGAAACATGATTTTCGTTTTGTATGAAAGGTTTTACCTTTATTACTTTGATGCTTTTTTGTCTGATCTCTTGAATGACTAGAATTGTTGGATGAAATGTTCTTTTTCCACTTTCTTTTGTAGGAACTAACTCCACATATTCCTTGGATACTTGACTCACTCTCCATTGCACACAGTTGATCTTTAGCCAACTCCATTGCTTTTCCCGTCTCAAGCATAGTTGTGAGATTCATTGACTTTGTGAGAGCTTTCTTTCTTAGTTCTGAAGATAGGCAACCTTGTATAATTTGACTTTAAATCTCAGAATCACGATTTTCTCCAAATTCACAGTTTAATGAAATCTTCTTCAATCTCGTACAAAACTGATCTAAACTTTCACCTTCCTCTTGTTTTGAATTTCGGAATATATATTTTTCATATTCACTGTTTGACTTGGGAACAAAATACGATATCAGTTTATCTTTTAAGTCTGAGAATTTGTCAGATTCTTCTTTTAATGTTTCATATATATCATAGCACTCATCACCCATATAATGCAGTAAAAGATTCCTCTTCTTTTCTCTGTCATCTTCGGTATCTTTGAGGTTCATGGCTAACATTAAAACTTCAAAACGCGATAACCATTTCTTCCACCGGGGACCAGCATTTGATAAGTCTTCACAATCAAATGATCTGAAATCTGGTAGATTTGCCATCTTCTATATGTGGGTTAAGAACTTGTAAACAGCACAGACCACTTAGGAATGCAGTATAGAATTCTGGAATGTTTCTTAGTTTTTGAAACTGTACAACACTTAGTTGACTCTTGACTTCCGTTGACCACTACTTCACACCAAGTTCCGTAGGTCTTTCCCGTATTCGAGGTTGCACTTAGCTTCCTTTACCACTTAGGTTAACGTTATCTGTTACCGTTGCTTTATCCTCGTCGCCAATGTAAGGTGGTGTGTATACACGCACAACTATATTGCATTTGTAGACTTTATTCACATTCGAAACAGAACACATTCCAGATAGATAAACTTAAAACCGTTAATGCACACAGGACCAACTCATAACAGCTAATGTGACACAGTACACGTGATAAGTACAGAACTTAGAAGTCACCTTCAGACATGAACGGACACGGGTCAAAGGTCACTATATTACAGGATAGATATAAAACTTTAGGCAAATAGTTCGAGTAAGCATATGAAGTGGGATTCATGATATGTTCTGGGTTAGGATAGATATAAAACTTTGGGCAAATAGTTCGAGTAAGCATATGAAGTGGGATTCATAGTATGTCCATGCTTGGAATATATCTTATGAAACTTAACAACCTCGTCAAGGAGCAATGGAGTTATTCCGGATTTTCTGTCAATTCTATCGCTTACTCAGTCTAGATTAATCAGGAAGCTGTCAAAATAGTCAACAAACAAACTGCTTTTGTTGAAGTAAAGCTCGCATATGAGCATTTGTTTATGTGGCTTTGCCTGTGTGACAGAATCTTTTATACGAACTATGTCGGCAGTATTTTCACAACAAGGTTCCAAACAAGGCACAGCAAAACTACTCATTTTACGCTACTCAACTTTCCTGTCAATTCTATCGCTTACTCAGTCTAGATTAATTAGGAAGCTATCAAAATAGTCACCAAACAAACTGCTTTTGTTGAAGTAAAGCTCGCATATGAGCATTTGTTTATGTGGCTTTGCCTGTGTGACAGAATCTTTTATTCGAACTATGTAGGCAGTATTTTCACAACAAGGTTCCAAACAAGGCACAGCAAAACTACTCATTTTACGCTACTCAACTATTTTCATCAAAGCTCCGACCATAAAATTGAAGCATATGAAGTGGGGTTCATGATATGTTCTTGGTTGGGATGAATATAAAACTTTAGGCAAATAGTAAGAGTACGCATAAGAAGTGGAATTCATGGTATGTTCTGGGTTAGGATAGATATAAAACTATTGGCAAATAGTTCGAGTAAGCATATGAAGTGGAATTCATGATATGTTCTGGGTTAGGATAGATATAATACTTTAGGTAAATAGTTCGAGTAAGCATATGAATTGGGGGACTCCTGGTATGTTTCGGGTTAGAATAGATATAAAACTGTAGGCAAATGGTTAGAATAAGCACAGGAATTGGGACTCCTGGTATGTTCCGGGTTAGGATAGATATAAAACTTTGGGCAAATAGTTCGAGTAAGCATATGAAGTGGGATTCATAGTATGTCCATGCTTGGAATATATCTTATAAAACTTAACAACCTCGTCAAGAAGCAATGGAGTTATTCCGGATTTCCTGTCAATTCTATCGCTTACTCAGTCTGGATTGATTAGGAAGCTGTCAAAATAGTCAACCAACAAACTGCTTTTGTTGAAGTAAGGCTCGCATATGAGCATTTGCTTGTGTGGGTTTGCCTGTGTGACAGAATCTTTTATACGAACTATGTCAGCAGTATTTTCACAATAAGGTTCCAAACAAGGCACAGCAAAACTACTCATTTTACGCTACTCGACTATTTTCAACAAAGGTCCGACCATAAAATTGAAGCATATGGAGTGGGGTTCATGATATGTTCTTGGTTGGGATGAATTTGAAACTTTAGGCAAATGGTTAGGGTAAGCATATGAAGTGGAATTCATGGTATGTCCATGCTTGGAATATATCTTATGAAACCTAACAACCCCGTCAAGAAGCAATGGAGTTATTCCGGATTTCTTGTCAATTCTATCGCTTACTCAGTCTAGATTAATTAGGAAGCTGTCAAAATAGTCAACAAACAAACTGCTTTTGTTGAAGTAAGGCTCGCATATGAGCATTTGCTTGTGTGGGTTTGCCTGTGTGACAAAATCTTTTATACGAACTATGTCGGCAGTATTTTCACAACAAGGTTCCAAACAAGGCACAGCAAAACTACTCATTTTACGCTACTCAACTATTTTCATCAAAGGTCCGACCATAAAAATTAAAAAATCCCAAAAAATATAATTTAAATGTTCGAACTAAATTTCGAATGCACCGTTTAAAAGAGATATGATATATTTCCAAGACTGAAAATTTAGGATATTTCAGTTGCGACGAAGAATGAATTTTTCCAAATAATATTATCTAAAACCACAACGTTCACAAGGATTTTAGAAAAATATTCTTAAGTTGACTTTCTGTCCAATAACAAGTTATTTGTCAATCATTAGTATGAGAAATTGCATTTCTTCTTTTTTGCCAGCCTATAATATTTTTCAAAATCGGGTTATTTATTCTATTTTTTATTTTTAAAATACAAGTAAAACTGACAAATAACATGTATAGCTATAAAACAATATCCTGTTTACCAGCTTTTCTAGAAATCTATAGAAAATGCATCTAAGGAGCACTAAAACTTCAGTTTTTACGCCATATCTTGCTGATTAGTAAATGCTAGGGGGGGGGAGGGGGTGTAAGCAAGTGAGTTGATGCTCTGAGAAACTTATATTGATATGACAATTTTAATTTTGGTACTTTAGCAAAAGATGCATTACATCACGACTGTGAAATAAAAAATGATGCATTCAAAGTTAAAAAGCAGCTGCGGTCTAAATTTAATACTAGAAAGGTTCGGATGCCGACCGCGGTCAGTTGAGTAGTCCTGATTTAGAGCATCGGTTCCCAACAAAGGCCTGTGGCACACCAAGGAGGCCACAATGATTTTAATTTGCCCTTTACAAGTAAACTCTTAGTTAATTCTAGTTTCATTGCTTGATAAGGTTATTTAAAGGGTGTTTTCAATTTGTTGATCATGAACTATCTCATTTTATTTGGGATTCGGAATCTACTAATCAGAATAACCCTCTAAATATATGATAAATAACGGGGCATTACTGCTAAAAGCCCCTGGAGGAGGCCATGAGCCATAAAAGGTTTGGAACCACTGCATTAGAAGAATATACAATATTTGACGCTCAACAGTTCAATACTTTAGTTTCAGGAAGTGAAATCCCATTTGAAACTGTGATTTATGCTGGGTTTGAATTTTATACCGTTGGCGAATCACAGCTTAAAATTCAAAGCTCTTCAGTGGACAAGAAAGTGTGCGTGTACAAGATTTAACAGCAAAAATTATTTTACGTTGTTAATATTCCAAATCTAACTTATAATTCAACACATTATAGACGAGATCAAAGAGATGACTGGAAATATTGGTATATTTTATCCAATACCGATGCAATCACCGATACATATCTGTTAGAGACAGAACTGTTTGTCATATACGCACCTTCATCAACTCCAGGTTCCTTCGACGTCAAACTCTCTTCTGCTGCTCTAGAGGTCAACGATGCAGAGAGCGATTTGATGGGATCTGTGATGGAAAGAATACAAATCTAGCAAAGATGAATAATTTCACTATTTTCAATTTTTCGAGTGATGGACACCAAAATTCATAGTTCTACTATTTAAATATTTGCATTTTTTCGTTCATATAAAACTAGAAACGAATTAATTAGTATTGCAACAGCAAACAATGAGTGAATTACTATATCACATTAGTATTTGAAGTGCCTTAGTTGAAGCAGAAGTTTCATTGTCTTCTTGAGTGCACCACTAGTTTACTGCCTTAGTGGATTATTGTAGTTGCAGTTGACACTGACGCCTAAGAACAAATGTTGTTTAATATAACACTCACCCATTTCCAGCAAACTTGTTAGATTTCTTGAATGTTTGGAAATATACCAGCAAGCTTGTGAGGTATTTAAGATAAACTGCAAATATAGAAAAATGGTAAGTGGTTTTATCAAAACTCACATTTTTTTATTAGTGGTGGGGCTTTCTACAAAATATCCATGATATGTAATCTTTTAATAGACCGAAATAGTTTTTCTGGTTGCCTATACATATACCGGTATGACATTCTTAGAGAAATCGCCAACATAAATGATTCTAAACCTATAACAACTACGTCACCGTACCCAACGAGGGGGGGGGGGATAAAAAAAATAATGAAAGAATCCCTAACTGAGAAAAAGCTGGTCAAGCTCTCATTCCCTTGCTATGGCAGTACAATACTACTCTAGAAAGGGCTCAAGCTGATAAATGAGACATTCCTAATTAAACAGCTTTATGCAATGGAGGTAATGAAGAATAACAACAGGAACCATCTTTAAAGACTACACCTAATATACTGTCTATATGGCAATGCAGAAGCCCTTAAGAAAGAGCTCATTCGAATTGCAATCGGGCCCATATATCCATCTCTATTTTTACCTACTGTCTGTATGACTACCCAAATAGCCTTCTACAAAGGAGACATTTAAATGGCAATTGGAACTATATATAAATCTCCATTCCTAACCTGCTGTCTATATGGCAGCCAAATAGCTTTTTACAGAATAGGCCATTCAAATGGCAATTGGAACCATTTATCCATCCCCGACCTGCTGTCTATATGGCAGCCCTATAGCCCTCCACAGAAAAGCCATTCAAATGAAAATTGAAATTATATATCCATCCCTATTCCTAACCTGCTGTCTATATGGCACCCCTATAGCCCTCCACAGAAAAGATATTCAAATAAAAATTGGCACCATTTATCTATCCCTATTCCTAACCTGCTGTCTATATGGCATCCCTATAGCTCTTTACAGAAAAGCCATTCAAATGAAAATTGGAACTATATATTCATCCCTATTCTTAACCTGTTGTTTAGATCAGTGCTCTTCAACAGGGGTTG